TTTCTTTAAAAAATCTCCATATTTACTATTTGAAGATTTTATATATAATTTATATATAAATCTTGTATAACCTGCATTATACAGCTCTCCAGATGACTGGTGAATCATCTATTAAGTATACTATACTAACTAGAAATAGCTAAAAGTACTACTTAAGTAATTTTGTAATATTAGGCTATCTTTAACAAAATAGATTATTAAAATAGATTATAAAAACTAATAGCTAAAAATATTAACCAATAATATTTGCTGATTTATAATTTACAACAAATTTTTAATCAACTTAAAGATAAAACATTATTTTTTGAAAAACTAGTATAAAAAACAAGATCTCTTGCACTAAAAAAAAGAAAGAGTACTAAAAAGAGGCATTCATAAATAATGTTATACAAAAGGGGGAGAAGTTTTACAAAAATAATGTTTTTTTATGTTTTTTGCTAAGTTAGAGAGTGTCAAAAAGAAAATAACCTAATTTTTTTTATAAAAATATTAATATTTCGTGATCTAGCAGTCCAAATTGGATAAATTTGGTACCATTGGATTTGTCTCGGTGAGGAAAATCCAATAGTACCAAAATTATTCAATTTGGATTACTGAATCAAAAAATATTAGCAAAAACCATTAGCTATATTATTTTATATAAAATTACTATATAATTAACAGTTTTTTGCCTATATCTTTTGATCCAGTGATCTAAATTGAATAATTTTGGTATCATTAGATTTCTCTCATTGAGACGAATCTAATAGTACTAAATTTATCTAATTTAGATTACTAGGTCACAAAATAATCTAAATTTTGTAAAAATTTATATATCAATATACAGATTTTTAAAATTTTTTATATAGTCTAGAGGGGTCAAGAGTTTCTATGTGGGGGTATATAATGTTATTTATAGATGCTTCCAAATAACCTTTAGTTTATTAGAATAGCTTTTTACAAAAAACTTTAAGGCTAGTGACAAAATAAGAACTTGAAAATTTTTAGAAAATTTTGGAAATTTTGGAAATTCGTCTAAACTCTGAAAATCTGATCTTAGAGACATGTAAACAACAACAACAACAAAATAAATATATAAGAGCAAGTAAACAAACAAACAAATAGTAAACTGTATTACTATTTTTAGATATAACAGAAATAATAAATCAACAAACAATATATATAATTAATAATAACAACAACAATACAAGCAACAGATATGATAACTAACAACTACGGTTCAGGGCACAAAAAAAAAATTGAGCATGTCCATATAGGCATACCTCTGAGCTAAGGCATACTCCTCATACTTATAGACATGTCTTTTTTAAATTATGTGATTAATATATAGTTCACAACTTCTTAAAAATCCCACATATTGATTTAGTATCTACGGTTCTAGTTTATCTGAACTTATTAACTAATTAAAATAACTTTGAACATCACATAACAAGGGTATGTTTTTTGGACTTGAAGCATGCCCATGGCATGCTTCATACCCTGTGCCCTGAACTCTACTAACAACAAATAGAAGTAGATTGTTCTAAAAAATTTAGCATAGTAAATATAAAATCTAAAGCAACAGACTTAGAGTTTAGCTTAAATAAAGAAAAGAAGTAAACTTAAAACATAGTTAATACTAAAATAACAACCTTAAAAAAGATTAAGAGTATCTTTGTACTGCTAGTAAAACAAAGACAAAAAATATATAATATGCAAAAAAGATTCATTCCCTAAACTAACAAAAATGTAGCAAAGTTTTTAGGATCAAAAAATCTAAAATTTGTATCATTTATGTATATAGTATTAGAAAATTACAAATCAGCTTTTTAAAAATTTTTAAAAGAAGATAAATTAAATATAAAAGATTAAGAATTAATAGATATAGATCTGAAGACCAAAACAATAGATTTGGATGATCATACTACAGGAAGATGTCAAGAGAAAATTAAAAAGGTCTTATCAGAACTGAAAATAGAAAAAGAAAATTTCTACTAGTTTAAGACAGAATAGTAATAGAAAAATCTACAACTCAACTAATTATTTATGAAATAACTTAAAGAAAATATATAGTTATAAAAAATATTAAAGAAATAAACAAAAAGGAACCTGAGCTCAAATAACAATACAGTAGTATGGATAAATAGCAAAAGAAATTCTGAATAAATCAGAAAAAAAGATTTTAGAAAGCTTAAATAATGAAAAGATAGAAGATGAAATAATTTTGCTATATGCAGAATATAAAACTCACAATAAAGATACTAAGAAGACAAAAGATCTCATATTATTAAGATATAGTAAAAGAACAGTATAAGTCCTATCTAAAAAAGAGAAGAAAAAAAAGTACAATATCATATATAAAGATATATATAGATCAAAATAGATATCAAAAGATATCAATGAATCAATCTGAGCTTTGAAAAATAGGCCCAAAGAAGAACTACTAAAAAAAGAAATACTGCTAAAAGAAGAAATACCCAAGAATCTAGCTAAGAAAAAAACAACCTAAAACCTCAAACCAGAATACAAGTTAATCTTATGGGACCTACCAGTAGATATATAGGCTAGCAGAATAAAAAGAAGCTTCAAGTTTTATAATAGAGCAAAAATTCTTGAATAGAAAGATTCATAACAAAAGGTTAAGAAGTTCAAAACAGCCTATATTCAGATTATCTGTTGGAATCAAGAAAGATTTAAAGCACTTCAAAAAAGTTAAATAATGTACTTTAAAGAGAGAAGTATATATCAATTAACTTTTGGTTAATTTGACAAAACAAAATTAAGTAATAAAAGAAAATAGATAGCCAGATTACAAGATTTTCTTTTTAATATACTTGAGTCTTTTCTCTTTTAACAACTTAAACTGAGTAAGGCCAAAGCAGTATATATTTTTAACAATAGTAATAGCAACAAGAGAAATATTGCGCTAGTATATTTCAAATATAAAGAAAATTATCTTAATATACAAAGAAAGTAAATTTATTACTATAACAAAAAACTGGTATAGATAGATATTTAAAAAGAAAAGTAAAAAACTATTTATGCTGAAGTGTTAAACAAAAATTTAGAAAAAGAAAATGCAGCAAGCAATAGTATCACTAACAAAAAAGAAAAAAACTAAGCAAAAGGCAAAGAAAAACAAATCAAGACTTGCAATGAAAAAGAAAATACAAAAATTTAGCAGAAGAGATATCATAGAAAAATTTAGAAATAGAAAAGCAATTTTATAATCAATTCAAAAAATCACAACCAAAAGATAAAAAAGACAAAGTCTTGAACTTGAAAAACAGAATAGACTAGCAATAGTTGATTTTACAAGAAATTCTTAATAGATTAAATAAATTAAACAAAGAGCAAGTTTTATCTGCTAATTGTTTCTAAAGAAGCTTTAGTTAAAATTAAAAAAAAGACAGCAGAGTATATACGCGAATTTGTATAATTGGCTTTATAACTGGTCTCCAAAATTTTTAATGATTTATGAAAAGTCATATGTTGATTGGGTGTAAATAAAAATAGTACCCCAGATCACATGTCAAATTCATTAACTTACTCAGAAAAATATTAAAATATATATAAAAACCAATGAACGCAATCATAAAACCAATAAATGCAATTATACCAATAAAGTAATAAGAAAGAATAAGAATAGCGAAAGTCGTAAATATATTTTTTTTATAAATTATTAAAAATATACATTTGTATTGTTATTTTTGTAAGAATATATTTGTTTGCATGCTTTTAGAGATCTAGCTAATTAATTTTCAAATTATTTTTATATACATACTAGCTGTAAACCCAGGCGTTGCTCCAAGATAAAAATTAATTTTTTAAAAGAATTTACTAAAACGTACCTATGGTGTTTTACACCTATATATACATTATTTCAAAAACTGGCTAATTAAGGGTAGGGTATTTGTTTACATATTTTTTCATACAATGTGCAAATAAATATGCATGTACAACCAAATATACAATTATAATTGGTTAATTTTGCAGATCATTAAATTTTAATTGGTTTATTTTCATGCCATGCGCAAACAAATGGTAAACAAATACTCTATCCTTAATCGATGTGAGATGTTCTAAGTAAAAATGTTTTACGCCTCAAAAAACCCTTTCTAAACTCTAATCCTAACTTTAATATTAACTTTAATGTACAAAAATTGGTGTTAAAAATTTTATATACAAAACTTATAAAACTTAGAAAATTTTAAAAAACATAATAAAAACATATAATAGGTGAAAACCACTATAGATGTGTTTTATAATTACTCTTTTAAAATTTTATTTTTTAACTTATAAACTTTTTTATATATTTATAATCTATTTTTTTTAATTGTTAAAATACTGTATTTAAATAAAATTTATTGGGTTTAAAAATTCTACGCATGTGCATGATCGCAGACCTCTAATTGGCCAATTAAAATTGATTACGTGATTCAACGTCTCGCAATTAACCAATCAAAATTAATGACAGATTTTATTATTGATAAAAAAAAAAAAAAAACTACATATGCAAAAAAACTAATACTAATAATTCTACATGTAATGATAACATTACAACACTATCGACACACTAATTATGACACCAACAGCAGCTCCAACTATGATACCAATGATGCACTAATTATGATATCAATGATGGTTCTGACAATGGCTCCAACTACAACACCAACGACGTACTAATTATGACACCAACGACGACTCCAGCAACGATTCCAACAGTAGATTTAACACAGAAAAAAAAAATTTGTTAGCAAGTTTAAAAAAAAAAATTCTACCAACAATAAAGAAATCAGCGAAATATACATTCAAAGTGACAATATAAGCACGGTACCAATGACAGCTCTGACTACGGCATCAACGACAACTTCAAATACGGCACCAACGATAACTCCAAGAAATAAACCTAAAAGAAAAAAAGCTTGTTAGTTCAAAATAGAAAGAAAAAAAAAATAAACAAAAAAAAAAAATAACTTATTGAAAACTCCAACTACGGCACCAACGATGATTCCAAGAAATAAACCTAAAAGAAAAAAAAGTTTGTTAGTTCAAAATAGAAAGAAAAAAAAAATAAACAAAAAAAA